AAGTCAGAATTCTGACTTTGTTCTCATACTGAAATAAAATTTAAAAATCAGTTTACTTTTTTAATTTCTTCCGTGGCCCTAATCCTCTTCCGTAGTTAAGGCAGATTTTATTGTATTAATATTATAGTCCAAGTGTAGACCACATAACCAAAAATATTTCCTCTTTTAATCACTTGGGTTTATTCGTTTTGTACCATTTGTCTTTAGAAAACAATCGTGTTTAAATTAAGAACTACATTTCCCATATTCCAGTGTATAGGTACGTCATCACTGCGCGTCCAATGTTGTTTTGGAGCGTTGGAAGATTTGACGCGACCTGTAAAGGTGTTTTTGATGCAGTCATATTTTACGAGTAAGGTATGTTATTTTATATCGTTTCTGAAAGCTATAATGTCAGTCAGCTAACTTTATAAATATGTGTCGTTAGGTAATATCTCAAAATGCGAACGTTTCTGCTTCATAGTTTTTGTTTGCTAATGAGCAGTTAAAGTTGCAGAGGCATTTCGGGTTTTTATCACTTCTGTTCTGTTTTATTTCCTCTTTGCAATTTTTATAAGTCTTAATAATTCCTTTAATTCCTACAGGCTTCATTTCAACCGTTTAAATGTTTATGCCCAGAGCATTGAAGGTAAAGAGACCTGTCCAAGGACCAGGCCATGGCTTCAATAAGAAAAGCAAGACTGATCAAGAAGATTGTGACCAAACGAACCCTCAGGCATCTTCTTTTCAGGAGGACGCATGTGAAGACACAAGAACTCAAAGTGACACTGGTGAACATTTGACAGAGAGCGCAACATGTGATTCTGGAGCTCCATCCTCCTCAGATAATGAAGATGAAGATGAAGAGGATCCAGTCAAATCTTTCAAAAAGAGCCAACGGTGGCCTGAGCCAGGAGAACCTGTCTGTGTAATGTGCGGTCGCTATGGGGAGTACATATGTGATGCTACTGATAATGATGTTTGCAGTCTTGAATGCAAAGCCAGTCATTTACTACAAATGGGAATAAGAGCTGGAGACGATGCCTTTGATGTGAAGGATGGAAACGCAGACAAAGGGAGCTCTAAATCTCACCATTCAGCATTTAACGCAGTGGGAAATGAAGCAAGCTATTCCTATAG